TTCGTCACTCTTAGATAGTAGGAGATTATGATCTGCGTTTCATTCAATTAAGTCGATGATGAAATCCTTGGCCAAGATGTACTCATAAGTCGAAAAGGAGTTTTCGATTTATATTGACTTAATAGTGGAGTGAAAGATATGATCAATGATCGAGATTGACACAATTCTATATCTCGTAATTGATCGGATCGTATTGACGAAGGGATAATAGTTCCATGGTAAACGAACGAATTTGGTTTTGTCATACCACGTGACATTTCCCGTCACATGTATTGCCCTGACACATTGCTAGATGTCAATCAGGGACGGCGAATGTGAATTGACGATAAATTAAAAGGGTGTATTAATTTATCAATTTTGATTAGATCAAAATAATATTTCACGACGTCAGGCATTGTGATCGGGAACCTAATGGGTCGCACACAAAAGAGAATTGGAAGACTGCAAATTGTTAATTGATTAATTTAACAATCGTTGAATAAATTAATTAATTGAATTTGTTATTTATAATCCCGAATTAATTAATTGGATTAATTAATTCACGGACCAGATTTGATTAATTGGATTAATTAAATATTGGACCGGACCGGGTCCGTTTGAGTTTATATATATATGCAGCTAGGGTTTGAGGTCCATAAGTTATTCATTATTCTTGCTAGCACAAAAAGAAACCCTAGCAATTGCTGTCTACTCTCTGTGTGGATTTCATTGGAGGCTGGACAATTGGACAGCTGTGGGAGGCAGATTCAAGCTGCTGGAAAGGAATAACGCGAAAGAGTTTGCAAATCACAAGTAAAGGTATATTTCTCATCACAGTTTTTATCTAAATACAAAGCTGAATCCTGAATGGAAATTGAAACTTGTTAAATTTCGCTGTGCATGTTTAAGTAAATTTCCAACAGAAAAAACAAATAAAATAGGCATACACAATAATGCTGGCATAAATACATAAAAGAATTAAATATGAATTCAAAAACTATGAATTGCTTCATTTGACATTGCTATTATGGCAAGGTTCAAATTTTCACATAATATTACTTCTGCTAGCATAATTTGTATGATTGTAGCATAATTAATGGGATTGCTTAATTATGGGGATTACAGATTGCTTAATTATAGGAATTATTGTATCTTTATCATTTATAGCATAGACTCTATTGTATAAATAGGGTGTACACCTTGTATTATAAACACAACTCAGAAATATAATTCTCCAGTTTTCATACTTCTTCATTGTTTTCTAAAATAGTATCAGAGTTTAGGTGCATCTAAAATATCTTCTGGCATATCCTCTCTGTAATTTTCCCTTTACTCCAGTCTTCTGGCTCTATGATGCAGAAAATAGAAATTTCTTCATCAGTGGTCACTGATATCTCCAAACCTATTACCACCACTCTGATCAGTTCCAACTACAATTTATGGGTTCAAGGAATGAAAAGTTTTCTTATTGGGCGCAAACTTTGGCACATTGTTTCTAGTGATCTCATCAAGCCCACTCATTGGAAAGATGAGACTGATGAAAAATATGAATGTCGTCTTGAAAATTGGGATAGCAAGAATCATCAAATCATTACCTAGTTTCAGAATACTTCTGTCCCTTCAATTCATATTCAATTTGTAACTTATGATACTGCAAAAGAGATAAGGATTTCCTAGCTAACAGGTATAAAACCACTAGCCTTGCTCACTATTATCAATTGTTGATAACTTTGCATAATTTGAAACAACATGCTGGGTAGTCTGTGAATAATTTCTTGGCTCAAGTACAACCTATTTGGAACGAACTATCTCAAGCCAAAATCAATGAGGATCACCTTCATCTCATCCAAGTTCTTAAACCTTATCTTTGATGGTCAATTATGTGATCTTGATCTTACTGTTGTTTTTCCCCTTTGATTGTCAAGTACAAGATCCTCAAACAGGCCAAATTCTTGGGACGGATCGCAAGGTGGGGAGATTACTTGAGCTCATCTCTCTTCGAGTTCCATTACAAAATGTATCAGCTGCTACAACTTCGAGTTCTTCATTGTATCAGTGGCATCTCCGACTTGGTCATGCTTCGGCTAGTAAAATTCGACCTTTAATTTCTCGTAGGATATTAGGATCTACAAAATTTGAGTCTTTTAATTGTCTGAATGTCAACTTGCAAAACAACATGTTTTATCTTTTAAAAATAGTACATTGATTTTTGATGTTCCTTTTGACATTGTCCATTCTGATATTTGAGGACCTTCTCCTATTCTATCTATGAATGGTTATCGATATTTTATTTTATTTATCGATGATTATTCTCGTTTTACGTGAATTTATTTTCTGAAGCAAAGATTTGAATTGCTACAAAGCTATATTAAATTTGCTAATATGATCAAAACTCAGTTATCTCACACCATTAAAACTCTTCGAACTGACAATGCTATGGAATATCAAGACTCCTCTTTTTTTCAGTTTCTTTGTCAACAGGGAACTGTGGTTCAACGTTCTTGTCCACACACTTCGCAACAAAATGGTAGAGTTGAACGTAAGCATCATCATATTCTTGACTCTGTTCGTGCTCTTCTCATCTCTTCTGCTTTCCATGAAAAGTTTTGGGACGAAGCTACATTAACTAGTGTATACACTATTAATCACACCCCAACAAAAATTCTTAAAAATCTATCTCCTTTTGAACGACTAGTTGATAAGACCCCTGATTATTCTATTCTGAAACCTTTTGGCTGTGCTTGTTTTGTTTTGCCACAACCTCATGAGAATGACAAATTAGAACCCTGTGCCCATCTATGCTGTTTCTTGGGTTATGGGATAGAACATAAGGGTTATCGTTGTTGGGACCCTATTTCTAATAGGTTGCGTATCTCTAGACATGTCACCTTCTGGGAACAAACCTTGTTTTCCTCGTTATCCAAATTTTACTCTAACTTTACTACTCCCTCTCAATTCTTTACAAATTTATTAGTCGATCTTTTTCCTAATAATGACACAATTATTTCCAGTGAACTCAATTCTAATCATACTCCTGCAACTGCTTCTATTGAAACTGGTCCAATTGTTGATATTGTACCTGATGTCCCTTCTCGTCTTTCTACTTGGGTAAGAGAAACCCCTCATCATCTTCATGATTATCACTATTTTTCTGCTATTGTAACCTTGCATGAGCCTCGTTCTTTTCATGAAGCTAGTAGTGATCCTCTTTGGCAAAAAGTCATGAATTAAGAACTTCAAGCTTTAGAGAAAACTCGTACTCGAGATTTGGTTAATCATCCAGATGGCAAAACTCCCATAGGATGTAAATGGGTTTAAAAAAAATCATTCAAATAGATCTGTTGAGCGTTACAAAGCGCATTTAGTGGCCAAAGGTTATAGTCAAGAATATGGTATTGATTATGAAGAAACATTTGCTCCATTTGCTTGAATTACCTCTCTTCGTAGTCTATTGGCCATTTGTCACTGTAAAATGTTGGAAACTCCTTCAGATGGATGTCAAATATGCATTTCTAAATGGTGATCTCCAAGAAGAAGTTTATATGCATCCTCCACCTAGATTTCCTCATCCTTCTAATAAAGTATGTAAGCTTCAAAGTACCTTATATGGGTTAAAACAAGCACCACAAGTCTGGTTTGCCAAATTCAGTTCCACTATTACTCAGTTTGGTTTTATTTCTAGTCCACATGATTCTGCTTTATTTATTCGTCGTACTGATAATGGCATTGTTTTCCTGCTTCTTTGTGTTGATGATATGATAATAACTGGTGATGATGCAACCTGTATTTCACAATTACAGCAGTGTCTAAATCAACAATTTGAGATGAAAGATCTTGGTCCTCTAAGTTATTTCTTGGGACTTGAAGTTTCATCCAACTCAGATGGCTACTATCTTTCTCAGGCAATGTATGCTTCTGATTTGCTTTCTCGAGTTGGGATCACAAACAATAAGACTGTCAAATGTCAAGCTTACTCCTATGGATAGTTCTCCTCTCGATGATCCTACTCTCTATCGCCAACTTGTTGGGAGCTTGATCTATTTAACTGTGACACAGCCTGATATTGCCTATGCAGTTTACTTGGTTAGTCAGTTTATGGCCGCTCTTCGCACATCTCACTTCTATACTATTCTTCGGATACTTCACTATTTGAAGGGGACTCTTTTTCATGGACTTCATTTTTCTTCTCACTCTTCTCTAGTATTATTTGGATATTCTGATGCAGATTGGGCTGGTGATCCTACAGATCGTCGTTCCACCACTGGTTACTATTTCTTTTTGGGCAACTCACTTATTTCTTGGCACAGTATGAAGCAGATTGTCACGGCTCGTTCTAGTACAGAGTCAAAATATCGTGCCCTTGCATATGCTACTGTGGAGTTACTTTGGCTTTGTTGTTTATTAGAAGATATGGGTCTCTCTCACTCATCTTCTATTGCTCTTCATTGTGATAATTGAAGTGCTATTCAAATTGCTCATAATAATGTGTTTCATGAGTGCACTAAACACATTGAGATTGATTGTCATTTTATTCGCCATCATGTTACTCTTGGTACTCTCCATTTAGAATCTGTATCTTCCTCTGATCAGACTGCTAATATCTTTACTAAAATTCACCTGCGTCGCGTTTTCACGACTTAGAATGCAAACTCAAAATGACATCTACAATACCATCTTGAGTTTGAGGGGAGGTGTTAGCATAATTTGTGTGATTGTAGCATGATTAATGGGATTGCTTAATTATGGGGATTAGAAATTGCTTAATTATAGGATTTATTGTATCTTTCTCATTTTATAGCATAGGCTCTCTTGTATAAATAGGGTGTATACCTTGTATTATAAACACAACTCAAAAAATATTTTCCAGTTTTCATACTTCTTCTCTGTTTTCTAACAACTTTGAAACTTATAAATTCTAAAAGAAAATGCATCAAAAAAGATACACAACAGTACAATAAGATCATAATCTAATTGTGGAAACCAAAATATTATTTTGAATGAGACATTGTGTGTGTGTGTGTGTTTAATGAAGATAACCTGAATCAACACAAACATGAGAACTCGTGGAGTTTATTATGTACATGAATCACGATTTTATGAATCTGAAACTAGAAGCGCATCCCAGATGGTGTCCATGTCCAGAGATGGCATTCTGCTTAACTGAACTGTATCAATACCTGATATCCCTTCTTGGCTCACTTGGGTCAATCCTGCAACTTTTTTCTCCAAATCCGTTAATGGCCATTCTTTTCTTGCTGAACTTTGGTTTGAACTTTCCAACTCTTCATGCAAAAATGACTTTGTTGGTGATGTCGATGGTGGATCAGTGGTCTTGTTTGAAGTTGCCAGCATTCCTTGTGATGATATTGCTTGCAACTTGGCTTCGAGAAGTGCCGTGGTATTATTATTCATGGAATTGGCATTAATCTGCTACTGGCAGCGCCTTCTGCCGGGCGATGAAGGGAAGGGGCGGCGCCTGTCGCCGCCCCATGAGGCAAGAGAAAGAAAAAAAAAATTTTAGGGTTTTCAGAAATCGGGTGGAGACGGGGGGTTCCTCTGCAATTAAAGTTATTGGGGGACCCTGTCTGCAATTATTTCCTAAAGGGTCAAGTTGTAATTTTAAAAGGAAGGGCATGTCTGCAATTTGAGAAATTGGAGGTCCTTCTCTGCAATTTAGTAGTACTTTTAAAAAAAAAAAGGACCTGTTCCGTAATTTGGGAAATTAAGGGACTCTGTTGGAAATTTTTAAACTAGGGTCAATTTGCAATTTTGAAAAATCTATTCTGAAATTTTCGAAATATGAAGGGCCTGCATGAAATTTGCGAAATTGAGAGGTCTTGAGTTTAATTTGAAAATGGGCCAAAACGTAAATTTCAAAAGGGGATTTGAATTTAGATTTTAAAATGGTTTTAAATTTTATTTTATATGGGTTTTGACCTATTTTGACTAGACTTCTAATTTTGACCCAAATTAAAATCTTATTTAAAATTGACGACATTATATTTTCGTTAAAATTGGATTTTGACTTAAACATTAAACTTTGACCCAATTGAATTTTTATTTTATTTAGGAGTGTTATCCTGTATTAAAATATTAATTCAATTTAAATTAAAGTTTAACTTTAATTTATACTTAATTAAAATTTGATTTTAATTGGTTATTCACCCGAATATATTCTTGTAATTAGAATTGGATTCTAACTTCACATTTAATTAAAATTTGATTTTAATTAAATTGTCTAGCCCTAAATTTCTTCTTGAATTTAGAGTTGGACTCTAATTTGGTATTTAATTAAAATTTTGATTTTAATTAAATTAATTCGCCCTTAATTATTAGAATTAGAGTTAGAGTCTAATTTTGTTATTTAATTAAAATTTGATTTTAATTAAATACCACCGCCTTAAATTGTGAAATTAGAGTTTGACTCTAATTTGATATTTAATTAAGATTTGATTTTAATTAAATAATCTCGCCATATAATTGTTGAATTAGAGTTGGACTCTAATTTATTATTTAATTAAAATTTGACTTTAGTTAAATATTCCAGCTAATTAAATAATCGATTAATATGATTAATTAATTAATTATTTAATTAATCCGATCCATTTGTCTAAAAGAGTTTAGACGATTTAATTGCTAGAAACTTGAAACTTATTTGCATATAATATTAGATATTATATAGGTATACATTTATGTGATGAATTTATTATTAGTGGACAATTATGAACTCGACCATATGGATGTGTTGAATGGTTAATTTTTAATTTTGTCATACTATGGGCCTGCGAGCTCTTAATTGTTTTGGGCCTACGAGCCCGTTATTATTGTTATTATTTTGGACCTGCGAGTCCATTATTATTATTGTTACTATGGGCCTACGAGTCCAATTTCATTTAGGCCTGTGTGCCAACTAGTATAGGATACATGTTGGAATTGGACTAATTGAAGAGATAAGAAGAGGTGGAGATGGTGCATTGACACTGTTCAATACTATACCCCCTAGGAATTGACCAACTAGTCTTCCTTATGGCTCGGAAAGACTAGATAGTAAAAGTCCATTATCGTCCACACTATCCTTTAAAGATATTAAGAGGAAGTCTAAAGGGACTTTGTGAAAGCACCCAATATGGTTAAGACAGTATAAGCGAAAGAACAAATACCAAATCTAATGACCCTTGGTTTCATTATAGAATGAAAGGTCATTGGAAGGAATATTGTATGGCTTACGTCTACTTCACGAGTTTCTTAGGTATATGATATCAGGTGTAAATATCGTATTTATACAAATATGGAGAAACTAAAAGAAGTAGACCACTGCGAAAGGGAGAAGTTGACATACACGTTGGAGATGAGCAAAGGTTGCTACATTACCTGTATGAATATACTTCTTACCATTGCCTTTTGGTTTAGTATTGAAATTAGAGAAATGTCATTTTATGCCAACTATAGCTGGAACATTAAAATGAATTTCATGTTCGGACATGAACTATTTTAATGTTAAGGACAATTGTTGTTCTTATTTATCTTGTTAAAGATCCTAATGACTATGGTAAATTATAAAACGACATTTATATTCTTTAATACTAAAGATTCTATAATAAGTATAGAAATTATAAGGCATAAATACTATAATCTAATTATTACCAAAATATGGCATGACAGACTTTGTCATTTAGATGAAATATAATTCCAAAGTTACATAAAGATGTATACTTGGGATTAATTCATTTTGACAAGTACAAATTATGCATGTCTGGCACAATAACCAAATCTTCTTTTGCTTGAAAAGAAGAAATGTCAGCATAATTACCGGTCTAATGCATAGTGATGCATATGGATTCATGTCAATCAATGTCAGGTAATGTGTCTCTTATTTCATCAATGATCAAGTATACTTGATGAAAACTCAAACATGAAACTCTTAAAAAGTTCAAGGGATTCACACTAGAATTAGAGAAACAAAGATGTAAAGATACCTTCACATTAAGATTCGATCAAGTGAGAGTATCTTAAAGATAAAATTTAGATTATCTAAGAGAGAATGAGATTCTCGTGCAGTGGACTCCTTCATATGCACTGCAGCAAGGTGGTGTATCTAAAAGGATGAATCGTTAATTATTACAAATAATGCGATTAATAACAAGTCATGCAAATTTCTCAAAATTGTTTTGAGGTCACGCATTGATTGCAGTGTGCAACACACTAAACCATGTCCCATCTAAATTAGTTAACAGAACTCCATACGAGTTATGGAAAGACAATAGTCCCAATTTATCTTATATGAAAGATTGGGGCCATGACGCTTATTTGAAGAGCCTTAAATCGGATAAGTTTGAGACTAAATCCGATAAATACATATTTGTGAGATATTCAAAAGAGACAATTGAATATAAATTCTATTATCATGAAGAAAGTCTTCATCTCACAACATATCGTCTTCTTAAAAAAAATGTTTACTCTAGGAGAGGACAGTGGGAGTAAAATAGAATTTTGAAAGAGTTCAAAAGTCCACAAATATTGTTAACCAAGTAGATAAATCTGAGTTTGATCCCATATCTGATATGGGACATACTTTGGATCAGGAAGTAAAGACTCCTGAGGACATGACAGCTCTATGTGAATCTAGTAGGCTCATTCGACCTTCAAGAAGGTGCGAATCATTAATCAGTGATCCAGGATAATGAACATGCTAGTTGCAACAAAATAAAGTCAAGTGTTGACTTAAAAGAGACAGCAAGAGGCTATGAAACTCGAGATGAAACTCGACGCAAGTGAATAAGGTTTGGACCTTGGTCAAGCCTCCTAATGGAATAAAGCCCATAAGTTTTTGTAAATAGTTTACAAAAGAAAAGGTCGATACGGATATGAATATCCATGTATACAAAGCAATGCTAGAAGGAAAGGTTAAATGTTGACCTTGGTGAAATATTTCTCCTGTAGCCTTGCTTAAGTCCATTCGGGTTTTGTTTGCAACAGTTGCATATCGTGACTATAGGTTAAGAGAAGTCTCTTGGAGTTGAAATCTTAGATTTGATGAAAAGTCAAAGTGTTTGATTTTATCAAATTTGAAAACGAATTGTGTGTTTACAAGAAGATAGTGGGAGCATTTTTCGTATTCCTAAAACGACATCCCTATGTTTCAATCGTTGAAATAATGGTTGTTAAAGGATTTATTCATAAACGATATGGGATAAGCAACTTGGTCTATAGAGGTAGATCTAGAATATTGCTTAATTCATCCCAATTTACATAGATGAAATCTTGAGAAGATTTCATATGGAGAAACTGGTTTACTCTTAAGCAGTATGTTGGAAAGGTTCCAAACGTGAAGCAGCCGTTGATTCAATAGTAGAAACCTAATACATGGATACTTCAGAAGTAGCAAAGAGTTGCAATATGGATCATGATGTTCATAAATGAACTTGGAGTAGTTCCTGATATTGTTGATCACATACAATAGTATTGTGATAACAATACAGCCATTGTGAAAGCAAAGGAACTAAGGTCTCATCAATGATCCAAACATGTATTAAGGTGGTATAATCTCATCAAAGAGATAATACATATAAATGACGTAAAGAGAAGAGCAAATTTCCATATTTAATAATATTGCAGATCCACTGACAAAGAGTTGTCGTAGTATAAACATGATCGTCATGTAAACTTATGATATTAAATATATAAGTGATTGGATCTAGTGCAAGTGGGAGTTTGTAAGTATTATGCCCTAGGTCCAATCAACTTTGGACATAAATACTTTTATATATAATTAATTCAATTAAATAAATAATAGAGTTCGTAGATTCAAATATTTGTAATTTGTTAATCACAAGGAGTTGTGATTGTGAGATACAAATTACATCTGATTGAATCTTAAATCATCCGTGGTCGTAAGTAATAACGAGATACGGATATCGTTATTACGGATAGACCATCACGTGTGGCATTTCTTACTTGTGAAGTAAGTAGCTGATCTCACAAGTTAAAGTGTGGTGACACTTAAATAAACACGTAGATGTTTTGTTATAGAACAAAACATTGGAGACCCGTCGAGAGATTCCACATGGATAACTATCTGAGTGTCGATGGTTAATCTCTAACGTTCGGTAGTGAAATTGGTCCTTTGACTTGAGGTCGTCATGGTACCTTATATGAGGACAGTCATACTTTGGCGGTGTTGGATGTTGCTCTGAAAAGGGCCGCTAATACGACATCGTTCGGGTATGTCAAGAATCGGATGAAGGTTGTGATTGATCAATAAATGATTCGTCACTCTTAGATAGTAGGAGATCATGATCTGCATTTCATTCAATTATGTCAATGATCAAATCCTTAGCCAAGGTGTACTCATAAGTCGAAAAGGAGTTTTCGATTTATATTGACTTAATAGTGGAATGAAAGATATGATCGATGATCGAGATTGACACAATTCCATATCTCGTAATTGATCGGATCGAATTGACGAAGGGATTATAGTTTCACGGTAAACGAACGAATTTGATTTTGTCATACCACGTGACATTTCCCATCACATGTATTGCTCTGACACATTGTTAGATGTCAATCAGGGACGGCAAATGTGAATTGGCGATAAATTAAAAGGGTGTTTTAATTTATCAATTTTGATTAGATCAAAATAATATTTCACGTCGTTAGACATCGTGGTCGGGAACCTAATGGGTCATACACAAAAGAGAATTGGAAGATTGTAAATTGCCAATTGGTTAATTTAACAATCGTTGGATAAATTAATTAATTGAATTTGTTATTTATATTTCCAAATTAATTAATTGGATTAATTAATTCACGGACCGGGTTTAATTAATTGGATTAATTAATTATTGGACCGGACCGGGCTGAGCCTGTTTGGGTTTATATAAATACATAACTAGGGTTTGAGGTACATATGATTTTCATTATTCTTGCTGGCACAAGAGAAAACCCTAGAAGCTGCAATCTTATTCTCTGTGTGGATCACCGTTGGAGGCTGGACAATTGGACAGCTGTGGTGGCGAATCAAGGTTGATGGAACGAAAAGAAAAGCAAAAAGATTGCAGATCTGGAAAATGTACAATCTTGTCACAATCTCTATCTAAACACAAAGGCGATTCTTGGTGGGAATCGAAAATTATTTTAAATTTCGCTGTGCATGTATAAGTAGATTCCCAACAAAAAGTCCCCAACCAAACCCATGTTCTATTTCGCGGTACTCTTATTTCTGCAACCCATTTTCCCCAGTGCCTTTGCCTCACTCCTCTATAAATCTTTTTGGAGGAAGAAACTGATGATGATAAACAAGATTTAAACTGCAGCTGGCTATTTGGAATTCTACGTTTCATCGGTTGAGTTTTAGTAGTGCTGAGCCAATAATCACTGAAACCTTTTGGGGTATGATTTGCTATATTCTGATTGATCTTCAGCCATTCTGGCCCTGCCTGAACCTGATAATATTGCTTTATTTGAGACATTGAGAATACTGGGTGTGCGAGCTTCTGACTCAAACTGGCCGGAGATTCTTCTGCTCTTTTCAAGATAGATGGCTTCTGCAGATACAAATTTAGATTTAAGCATTTTGAATCTGCACAAGATTCCGATACATGGGATTTATGTAACCTTGGGAAAGATTCAAGAAAATTTAAAGGAACGTAGCTTCCTTCCGTAGGAGATCCGTTCATCTGATTGACAAGATTACATCCTGAAAGAAAAGATTGTTCCTGATGATATTCTTTGAACATATTTTCATCTGAAAATCTTGTCTTGGCAGCAGCAGAAGAAGCTGAACCTAAAACCACTCTGTTATCCAGCACGGATCGAGTTGATTTTGCGTCACAGCCACCACGGCCGCCGCTAACAGATGCCTCATTTATGCCCAGAAAAATGTTGGGATGTACCCTAATTCTTGATTTGTCAGCAATTCCTTTTAAAGAACATGATAATTCCTTCTGCACGAAGGTTTCCATCTCAGGAAATTTATTCTTCATTCCAAATTATTGTGAATTACGGAAGAAACAAACAAAGAAATAGAATTAATGCCAAACATAGGCACTGTTATACATATAAGTTGGTTAGTTATACAGTGCTTTTTTTTCCAATTATATATATATATATATATATATATATATATATATATATTGTATCGTCAATTAAAGTTTTAGGAACCTAGTAAAGAAAAGGAGAATAAGTTCTTTGCACTCAACCTTAGACAAATTCGTGCTCTCCATTCTTAGGAATCTAACAGGGATTCACGAGTGTCATCTTGTCTTTTCCTGGTTATTAGGATTATTTATATTCTTTCATGACAGTGACACCACGAACCTAGGCTATGTTTTGGTGTTTTGTTAGTTAATAATCATGTGATTAATCAAACCCCCATATGAACTTATTTCTGCGTTTTCACCTTTTACTATATATATATATATATATATATATATATATATTGGCGCGTTTTCAATCAAATTTGACTAGAATTTCACACAACTTTAGTTCATTGGCACATGTCGAATAAAATTTGAATAAACTTTCAAGCGGATTTTTTCGTTATCGCATTTCCATTCAAATTTGACTAAAATTTCATCGAGTTTTGTTAATAAGCTTGTTTCTAATCAAATTTGACTAAAATTTCTCTTGGATTTTGTTTGTTAGAGCATTTCTAATTGAATTTGACAAAAATTTAATCGGTATTTTGTTCCTTAGTGCGTTTCCAATCAAATTTGACCAAAATTTACCGAGTTTTGTTAATTAGCGTGTTTCTAATCAAATTTGACTAAACTTTCTCTTGGATTTTGTTTGTTAGTGCATTTCTAATCAAATTTGACTAAACTTTCAAGTGAATTTTATCGTTGGCTCGTTTTCATTTAAATTTGACCAAAATTTCACCGAGATTTTGTTAATTGGCATGTTTTCAAATCAAATTTGTCAAAAATATAATTGGGATTTTGTTCGTTAGTACGTTTCCAATCGAATTTGACTAAAATTTCATATGAATTTTATTTATTGGCGCGGTTCTAATCAATTTCAACTAGAATTTCACAGGACTTTGGTTCATTGGCATATTTCGAATCAAATTTGGCTAAACTTTCAGGCGGATTTTTTGGTTGGCGCATTTCCAATCCAATTTGACTAAATTTTCATTGGGATTTTGTTAATTGGCGTGTTTCCAATCAAATTTGACAAAAGTTTAATCGGGATTTTGTTCGTTAGTGCGTTTCCAATCGAATTGGACTAAAATTTCATCTGAATTTTGTTCATTGACGCGTTTCCAATCAAATTTGACTAGAATTTCACACGACTTTTGTTTATTGGCACATTTCAAATTAAATTTGACTAAACTTTCAAGCAGATTTTTTCATTGACGCGTTTCGATTCTAATTTGACTAAAATTTCATCGGAGTTTGGGTGTTAGCATGTTTCTAATCAAATTTGACTAAAATTTCTCTTGAGTTTTGTTTGTTAGTGTGTTTCCAATCTAATTTGATAAAATTTCATCTGAATTTTGTTTATTGGCACGTTTTCAATCAAATTTAATTTGAATTTCACACGACTTTGGTTTATTGGCACATCTCAAATCAAAATTGACTAAACATTCAAGTGGATTTTTTCATTGGCTCGTTTTCATTCAAATTTGACTAAAATTTCACCGAAATTTTGTTAATTGGTGTGTTTCAATCAAATTTGACAAAAATTTAATCGGGATTATGTTCGTTAGTGCGTTTCCAATCAAATTTGAATAAAATTTCATCTGAATTTTGTTCATTAGCTCGTTTCCAATCAAATTTCACTAGAATGTCACATGACTTTGGTTCATAGCACATTTCAAATCAAATTTGACTAAACTTTCAAGCGGATTTTTTCGTTGGTGCGTTTCCATTCAAATTTGACTAAAATTTCACATGAGTTTTGTTCATTGAAGCGTTTATCTACTAATAAATAAGATGCATACTTGATACTTAAAATGCGCATTGAAGGTCCTCAACATAAGAATTTTTAGCAAACAAGGTTCCCTACCTATTTTTTAGCATTTGCATTCTCAACCTTTCACTTTTGTTGTTTTTTAGGGTCGAGTAAGTTGGATTCATTAAAGTTGCTATTAAATTGTGAATTTTGAAGTTGGAAAGACATCTTCTCTAAAAAATAAAGGATATTAAATCTTGGGTTTACATTTATAACTGTCTATTTTGTTAAGAAGAGTTGCTCAAATTTTTATATGTTGAGTATTATTTTAATCATTAATCAATGTAGGATTATATCCATGATAGTTATGGGGCAGAAAATGAGGTGGCTTCCAAGTTATGGAGGTGGGTAAATACTAGGACTAAGGGCAGAGTCAGAAAATGATGTTGGAATTGGCTGAAAGTTAGAAATTTTTTAATGAGCTTACATCACAAGAAATCGAATTTTGAAAACTATTCCTGTGACATTCACTATAAAAAGTACATACGATACTCAAAAAAAAAAAAAAAAAAAAAAAAAAGGGGGGGGTTTCAAATGTCTCACATTAAGATATTCAACAAAATCTTTATATTTTTTTACCAAATAGAAAATCAACGCTTACCTTAAAAAATATAAACTAACTGAATCACGACAAAAATAAGCAAAATTGTATATCCATCAATGAAAATTTAAAAATTGACTCAGTGAGTACTCTTCTAGTAACTTTGACAACCAATCTTTTCGAACAACTGAAACTTTGATTGAAACATGCAATCAATAATATATCACTATAATCCATATGTTATTGTCTCAAAATATTATTTGGTGTGCTCATAATCTTCTATATCACCACATTCAAAGTAAGTGTAGAATCTCAACCAAAGTGAGAAAAATCAACTAAGAATTTCAAGGATCAAAGAAATTAAATTTAATTCACGTGCATTTTTTGCTTGATGAATATACTGATATATAGAAAACTTTATAAATAAACAAGTTTTATCAAATATTATTTTTATTGTCAATATCAACTCTGTAGTAAGTTATTTATTTTGATCATAATATTTATTTTATTGTCAAAATAAGTAATTTTTTTTTTATAAATATGAATGAGTAATAAATGAAAACAAACATGGAATAAAAATTTAATAATTTTAAATTTGGAAAAATATGAGTGTTTCTAACTATTAAAATAAGTAATTTACTTTTAGATCTAATCAATACAAATTATCTATAATAAAATTTACCTAATAATAATAAGTAAATTATAGTCAAACACGTATTAAATAGAATATCGAATTTGATAATAAAATATTCACATTTCAAGAATGTCATGAAAAGAGTAATTAATAATTATAGTATCTTTAATACAATTTGAATAATTATTCGTGCTGAGACTTAAACTAGAACTGAGCTAATGCTAATATTTGCACCAAAATTCTACAAATTCTTCTTATGCTTCTATATGGGCTGGGTGACAGTAGCCCAACAACCACCCACTACCTCTGCCCTTGACTAGGACAGAAGGCCACCGAATTAGGGGTGTCGGTGAGGGTGGTGCAGAATGCTTCTTTTTCTTTTCTTTTTTCTTTTTTTTTCATTTCCTTCTTTTTTATATATATATATATTTATAATTGACACTAGCTATATACTAAATTTACCCGTCGAAAAGTCAAACGTGTAAGAATCACTTGTCATGGTAAATATACAAAATCATCCATTGAAAACTAGGGTGCTAAAAAGCATGAAAGGTTGAGGACTAGATGTTAAAATTTGGGATCCATCTTAATAAGATCAACTTTTTTAAGAGGAGAAATCCAAGATCTTTATAAATTGGTATTTATTTCGATATTAAACCAATGTGAGATAACACATCCCTTAATAAACTCCCTCAAGATGGTGGCTCATTTTGAGCAGACCAATCTTGAAATCTACGGGATGACTTTGATACCATGTTAAGATTTGAAATCCATCTTAATAAGGTCGATCTTATTAAGAGGAGAAGCTCAAGATCTTCATAAATTAGTATTTATTTCGGTATTAAACCGATGTGGGATAATACATCCCTTAACACTAGATACGTACTGTTTGCAACCCCTAGCGGTCGGGGACACCACTTCAATTTTCTCTGGAAAACATGGGTTACAAGGTAAGTAACCGTTGACTAATTTTTTAAATACATAATTAAAATGTAGATCATCTAATGATTAGCCCTAATTACTGGTATTAGCAGCAAAAGCCAATAGCAAAATTAGTTTATTAATATCATCATCAACACCATTATTGGCCAAGAAAAGGGCCGCAAAAAAATTTAAAAAAAGAAAAGAAAAAAAGAAGAAGATGGTGGGGGTGGAAGAGTGGGGGAATTCTTAGCTGTCTTTTTTAGATCTAAGTACTAAAAAATTGTCACAAAGAATTCCAAATTTTCTAGCATCTCTCTCTCTACGTGTCTTTTGAGAGGAGCTTTGGAGTCACTTTACCAACTCATCAACTTAAAAATCAAGAATAGGCTAGAAAGTAAACTGGCCCCATAGAGAGCCATTTATATGTCCAAGTTTCATCCCCAAATGATGAGTGTTGCCCACCATTTTGTAGTGTAGTTTACATTCATCTCAAGCTATGAATTGAACCATATTTGACTTTGAAAACCAAACTTTAAATCTCTTTCATTTACATGTTATATTCATTTACTAATCAATTATGTGATACGTGTACAATTTTCATACTTTTGATTATTCAGAGTTTTCTTAATTTTTTATGCATTTACCACTATTCATTATTAACCTCAAATCCTCGGATATTCTCAGAATTAATGAGTCTTTAGACGTGTTCTTCACTCTTATTATTCCGCCACATCAAAAAGTTCCATATTGTGATAGCCATCTTTCCAAATAATTAAAAGGCACATTCATTTCGATCCTGACATGTTCATTGGGATTTGGCACTATATATATATATATTGTGTTTAGAATAGACAAGTTTTTCGTGTGTAAATACTAAAAATTGAAAGATGGCAAAGATTTGAATTCATGGA